ACTCACCGTGCCGTTGAGCAAACGGCAGGAATGTGACCCATACAGTGAGTGTTTGTTTCATCATCGTAATAAGGGTAATGGCTCGTGATTCACCGCTATGCTAACGACCTCACGAGCGGCTTGGGGGGGGGGGCACGTTCCGCGGAAGAGACGGCGCAGAACTCTGCCTCTCCAGATGCCAGCGTAGAGGATCGTCTGTCTTGCTCCAACATTCTGTTAAGGCTATAATGTCTTTGGATCTTTGTGTCTCGGGGAGTGGCAGCGTAGCGGGTTGGCGCACTGCCCTTCAAACCCCGGCGACCCGGGTATGACTTCCGCTCACGGCCGATACTACTGCCAATTATCTGAACCGGTCCTGGGCCTCCCATAGATCAACTTGGCCCCATACGAACACCTTGCACGATGAGTAAACGTCGCCACTAGGGAGGCAAGGGTGGCCGGACGTTATACTGGCCACCCACACCCTCATGTGCTGTGCTGGCCTTCATAGGTGCTCGCTAACATTGCTAGTTATCTGCGAAGGAGCGGGAGTGTAGTGGTTAGTGAACTGCTCTACAAACTTGGCTAACAGAGTTTGATTCGTGGCCAACTTTAGTGGCAAAATGAGTGCATAGTGCAGTGTGTAAGCATCAGCACTGGGGATACAAAGGCGGCTGGGCGTGGTGTTGGCCACACCATGCCATCGTGCGCTGTGTTTGTCTTTGGAGGTGGTCTCTAACAGCACTGAATAGCATCCACAGGGGATTTTTTGTTTATGTCTGTAAAATAAAGCTCGTATGTGCTGGTTACTTGGTGCGAGCTCGTCTGTGTGTGTCAATGCGTGTGCGCTCAAGCGTACGTTCGTGCAAGCGTCCATGCATGTGAGCTCCTGCATATGTCCGTGTGTGTTCACGTGGGTCTGTGCGAGCTTGTGTGTGTGCGTCTGCGTTTGTGTCCCGAGTGCCTGTTGGTGCGTGCGTCCATGCGTGTCTTCTGTCCACGTGACCACTTGTACCGACTCGCGCCCACTCCTAACCACTCGTGCCCACTCAGTGTGGTGGCGCTTTTGCAGGTTAAGAACTTAAGCTGAGGAAGCGCACGCGCGACCTTTTTCGAAAGAGAGCGAAAGTGGCGATTTCTCCAAATGGAGCGGTTCCGTAGGGAGAGCCGGGGACTGTCGAGGCCTTTCATTGCATGCCCCTCTCTGCCGGCACCAGCGAGCTTCCACAAGGTGCCACCAGAGGTTCCCTCTGGCCACCGTTTCGGACGTCACGGGGCGACGTGGTTTTCGTCGGCGAACCGCGGCTCCTGCGCTGCCGGTGCCCTTGCAGCCCACGCAGCTCCCCCGCCTCTCTGTCTCTGCGCTCGTCGAGGTGCAGACGCGCGCGCCGTGTGGCCCGCCGTGTGGGCGCCGGGCACGCGGTGACACGCGCGAGTGGCGCCGCAGCTCGGCGCCCTGGGGATAGTCGATGACGACGACGATGATGATGATGATGTTGAGAGGCGCCCGTGCACAATTGTGCAAACACGCGTGGCCCAGCCGCCCCGCGTTACCAGCGTTCGGACGTAGCGGTGTTATTTTTGTCCAAACGTCTACGTGCGGAAGTAATTGCCGATGTACACAGTAGTTTTTGTTACTTTCGTGCGAAAGAAACAAAAACGGGCGCTTTAGCAAGAGACGGCTGGAGCCACCGTCTCGCTGTGCCATCTGTCGTGCGCGCTTAACTTGCGTGCGCGCACGCGCGTTGAACTCACGCTCGCGCATTCATCCCCGTGATCATTCATCCCCGTGATCTTCGCCGCTGGACGGCCGCGTTCCCTCGCCTCGACAGCCGAGACGCCGCCGTGTTTAAGAACGCCGGAGGGGGTACGTAGGCAGCGTAGGGGACGTTGGCGATCCCTCACCGACACCACCGGGGGGGACTGGAGGTGTTCACGAATACATGGGTGCGGGCAACTCGTCCCGGTCGAGCCGTGCCCTTTCACGGGCCCGCCCGCATTGTCGCGCCGTCAGCACCGCATGCTCCACTCTCGAGCCGCTTCACCGCTGGTCTCCGCACGCATCGCTCTCACCGCCCGCCCGGCCCGCGCTGCGACAGCTTCTTTACATGCCCCCCCACCCCCCCGTGTGGTGCAGTTTCCACGCGGCTCCGACCGCACGTAGACTCGTGAAGACCGAGCGCTGTCCCCACACCGAGGGATCAAACTCGAAACACCACCTGCTTGATCCCTCGCCCGACCCTCGTTTCTCTCAAAGCCGCTGTGATGAGCGGCAAGGGTTTGGACCCTGGAGAGATTGCGAGCGAGTCGTTCGTGCCAAGGCATGTGCTGGTCTCCGGAGAGTAACGTAAATGCCCGGCGTTGCGCGTCGGAACACGTGAAGTCCATTTGGGTGGGAGGTCAGGTGCGGTCGTGGGCCCCGTGGCCACTGAGCTGCCCGGGCTCGCTCGGTTTAACCAGATTCTGTGGAGTTGAAGACCTTAATTGTTCATCTGTTCTAAGTCGCGAGGAAATCGCGGGCGATTAGATTCTGCCTGTCGTTTTTTTTAAAAAGGCGGTCGGTCGCGTTCAGTCTGAACTCGCGCTGTCAGAGGATCGCTTCCCTCCCCTTGCGCGACTCGCGCAGGGGCCACCGAGAGCAGCCTCCCATCAGCTTAACCCCCCTGACCACAAAAGGGTGAGTTCTGAGAATTGATGAAGCATTCAAAAACGAGTCTCCCTCTGCGCCACACGCAGCTCATTTGCGGAGAGAAACCCTGTCGGTCGCAAGAGGTCACCTCTAACATCGGCAGCCACCGTGACCCTTGACCTCTTGGCACAGAGGTCACGCTCGACCAGCCGTGCTATCGGGACAGGGCGACGGTCGCTCGTTAACGAAGCCCCCCTGCGCCAGCTGAGCGAGCACGGAGGAGCAAGCAGCTGCCCAGCCGCTCGCCGTGCTCTAAAATAGCGCCGGTCCCTCGGGGTTTTGGCAGCTTCGTGCGCAGTGGGGATGGGAGAGTGGGCAGCCCTCCACCCAAACGGTTTGCGGCTGCGTCCCCCTCCGTGCCGCCGTTATCTCGCATCGGAAAACGACATTCCCCGACTGCTTTGATTTATTTCCAACCCGTCGCAATCTCGAAGAGCTTCGGCTCCTGCGGAATATATTGACTCGAGCGTCAGGTGACCGATGTGGAGAGGGCTCCTGTGTCTCGTCACCCGCCGAGTGAGTGGGAGTTCTGGAGCACAGCAGTTCGTGAAGCGGCTGTCTGCGAGATACGCCGTGTCCGTCCGGCGCGGCGAATCCTAACGGGCTTCCAGAGACTTGTCACGTGGCCCGGCTAATTAAGTGAGCGGCGCTAACGTAATGGAAAGGGCTCTGCCTCCGCTCTTGTCGACGTCTAGAATTAGCGACGGTGGCACGCCTCTCCCCTCACCACCTCGGCTCTCAAGAGATCACCTCCCTCCCATAACAGCGTGGGGGTCACCCCCTCCTACCGGCTGCTGCTCCTCAGCTGTGATGGAGGTGTTTCCATGGCGGGGTACAGTGTGCGCAGAGAAGCCCACAAAGGGCGGCCGGCTAAGAATAGCCGCTTGAGTGGGAGACCGTGCGTGCGTCCGTGCGTGTCTGCGCGTCCGTACGTCGCAGAGTGTTTGCCTGCTCGATGGTAAAGGACGGTGGAGTGGCTGAGAGCCTTTCGCTGCGAGGGCACACGGGGGGCCGCACCTCGTTTCTGAGACGCCACTGTCGTGGCCGAGTAGGCGACGAGAAGACCCCCTTCCGTGGCTCGTATTTTCCCAGGTAGCCCATTGCGTGTATCCGTACGTCATGGGCGCGCGCGTTGGTTTGTGCGTGCATGGAATCAACGGGACGGGGGGCACGAGGTCACGGGGTGGGCAATCGCGTGTCCCCGTGACATCGCGCCTCACTCTCCCAGGGGAAATATCAGAGAATCTCCTCCCAGATGGGGACAACTTGCCAAAAAGTCCCACGAGCTTTGTTGGACAAAGGTGTCTCGCCCGAAGGGGTTGTCAATTTCAGTTGTATCCATAATTGGAGGCAAACAAACGATACGGTGGATTATTGGGTGTCCTCACACACAAAAGAATGTGTAACTATGTAAGTAAAACTCCAGCCCGGTGTGTGTTTGTGCGTGTGCGCACGCATGCATGAGTAGGGGAACGGCAATGCTGCGGTCGGCGCGACTGCGCTACAAACCCGGCGAGCCGACTTTGGTCAACGCCGGTGACGATTATCTGAACCGGTCCTGGGGCCTCCCCTAGGTCGACTCGGCCTCAAATGAGTACCTGGTGTGGTGCGTAGTAAACATCGCCACATTAGTGAGGCAAAGGCGGCCGGCCGTGGTGCTGGCCCACCCCATCGCCGTCGTGTGCCGTTTCGGCCTTCATAGGCCAACAGCACTTGCTCCAAAATTCTTTTGATGCTGTACGAGGGATCTTCGTCTTTGTTGGGGCGTACCACGCGGCGATTGACGAGCCCTGCCACCGTTGCCGTGTGATGGCTGCCGCTGGCCGATCGCGCTGGGAATGCGCCGTGCGGAGCCGAACGTTCACACCCGTTCAAGTCGGCTGCACCGTCGCTAAATGGCACTGGATTTTCGATTCCGTGGTGTTTTGCAATCGATTGCAAAATTAATGATTATCGATTGGAACGGCGATCGCGGATTCAGCAGCCCCACTGGAAAGGCTCCACCTTCCCACGCTAAGCGAGAATGTGGCCCATGTGAGTTATTCCCACAATATTTGCTGTGTTTATATGTTTGTATAGATTTGTCATTTGTTGACTAGCTAGGTCCAACAGCTCCACAAACGCAGCAAGATGGATAATGTGAAGGGCACTTTGTCTCCTGTCCATTTTTTCTTATTTGTATTCACCACAATGAGGCTCATGGTATTTTAAATAAATACCATTTTAAGTGGAGATTCCTAACTAACTGTGATGTTCTGGCGTGCTCTGTATGTGTGTGCTGTGTGCGTCTGCGCTATGTACGTGCGTGTGTGCCCGCGCGGGCGCGATGCAGGCGGAAAAGCCGCAAGGGAGACAAACGCGGCAAGGGGCTGCGCCACTTCTCGATGCGCGTGTGTGAGAAGGTGAGGGCCAAAGGCACCACCACCTACAACGAGGTGGCCGACGAGCTGGTGGCGGAGTTCAGCAGCACGCTCCGCGCCAGCCAGGAGGTGACTTGCTCGCACCCAGCACACCCAGACACGTACCGCACGCACACCTAGACACATAACACATGCCTAGCACCGTGTATACAGCCAAACAGTGGACGCACACACAGCCCTAGAGCCAACATACTCACACCCGAGACCATGTTCCCACACAAACCCACAACATACCCTACCCATCACATGCGCTATGTCAGCATTGTTGCACCATTGCCTCTCTGTGTTCAATTACAACACTATTTTACCAGGTAAGGCCCCTAAGCTATACAGCTCTTTTTCAGGTGCGACCTGGCCACAAATGAAAGCTCAACAAAGTGGGTTATCATGTAGCCAAATACTCTAAACGCATGTTTCTGAATGTGGAGGGAAACACTGAAAGACCCGGAGAAAAATCCACACCACCACGGGAAGAACACGCAAACTCCAAATATACAGCAGGCGTCAGGGTTGGGATCAAACCCACAACCTCCTGTATACCAGGCGAGATAGTTAACATCTCGTCACCGCGGCGCTCACAAGCAGACAAATACGTCCCATTCATGTGTCCGCCTCTGCACGTAAACATCCATCAAGAAGTGTTCTTTGCTCAGTCCATCGGCGTAATGTTTTGCTAGCGCCGACGATGTCTGGCGGAGCCGTGCGCGACTAACGGTGGGGTTACCGCGGGCCGCGTGGGCTCCTCCCCGCCGCCGCCCTCAGCCTGCCCGCCCCCCACCGCCACTCCCTCGCGCTCCCTGCCTTGCCGTCGGAACACGTCCGGCCGCCTCGCGAGCGCATGCGCGCCCAAGCCTGCGTTCCCTGGGAGTGGCGGGCATTGCGGTTAGGCTTGGGGTCGCATTCGTCTGCGCAGATTGTAACAGTCCGCGGGTTTATCCGTGGCGTCTTTGAGCCGTCCCCCTACTAGCGCCGTGCCAGCCGGCTGGGGTGGTGGTGGTGGTGGTGGCAGCGTGGACCTGTTGCTTGGCAACGAGCTTCCTGTTTTTATTGCTGTGTTCTCCGTTCCCGGGCCGATGGACAGTGACCTCCGTAACTCGTGCACGCTAAATGTTGAGGGCGTGGGTCGTTTCCCTAGAACTGTATGCGGCGAGTGACACGTTTGTTTTTAAAGAGCATTGTGCATCAAAGAGAAACGGGAATTGAGCCCATGTTTGTGTGATTTTTTTTTTTTGGCTTTGTAGAGTTCCGTTTTTTTTCTTATTCCCAACTAGTTCATAAAGCCTGTCTCTTTGCCAGGCAGAAGTTTTCAATAAATTTCAGAAATTACCTTAGATTTTTTTACAATTTTTATCTATGATCAGACACTAACAACTACTCCAAATATTTGTATTTTTCCACAAAAAAACAAAAATTGTTGGCGACTTGATTCAACTTATTATATTTAAAGTTGTACCTATCGGAATGCGTATTTTTTCATTTAAGCCTGCTTTAATCAGAATTATCGCAAAAACAATGAAAGATAGATCAATGGTTCTCACTTTTATTTGATTTGCTGTTTTAACGCTCTATCAAACGAAAAAAATCACAATCTTATATTTTGAATGGTTTCTGAATGACATGTGCAAACATGTTTATGGGGCAATTAAAATCGAGATTTTGGGCCCTTAAAATGAAAAATCTTGGATTTATTTTTCTTGTTTGTATCCTAAAAGCTACCTATGTACCAAATTTTAGATTTCTACCTTGTCGGGAAGTAGCCTAGAGGTTAGACATACAGACTAAGGTCTTTATGCAGAAGACTCGTAAAAATTCCTTCCTAAATCCATCTGAAAGTCGTGCGGAAAGCACTGCATGGTTGAAGGCTAAAAAAACGACTTCTCTTTGCTGACTGATTGAGGTTTCAATCCGATTTAGAAAAAACAACCAAGAGCTTTCTTGTTGGTCAGTGGTAGAGGGAGTGGTTCGCAAGCAGAAGTTTGCGATTTCAAATCCTGTTTGGGGGTTGACTCGGTCGATAAAATTATTCCCACTGGGGAAGCCAACAGTGGTTGTCTTCTGGATGGCTTTTCCCCGTCATGGGAATGTGGAATGTCTGCCACTGGCTCAGCGCTGTAAACACGATGAGCACCAATGCCTCAATGCTCATCTGAGGAGGAAGTGGCTTATGAGTTGACTTGATGTTTACAAGCAACCGCTTGGGGGCTTGGCTTGAGGGCGCACACAGTGGTTAGCGCACCGCTACGAGCTCAGAGAACTCTGTTCAATTCCCGGCCACGGCTAACATCAGTGGCGAGTAATATCCGAACCGGCCCTGGGCCTCCCCAACTTCACGAACCCCGCAATGAGCAGGTGTTGGCGAGGTTTTTCAAGCAACCCCCCTGACTGAAAGGCATTGGGGGGACCTTCATCCAGCAAGGGCTGCACATTAACACCCCCCCCCCCACTCCCCGCCCCAACAGCCGCGGCAGTCGAGCGAACTGGTCTGACCGGTTGACCGCACTCGTTGCCCTTAACCTTGGCCGTTACCGCCGGAGCTTCTCATTCTTGCGACACGTTTTGCTGTCACAGCACGCTTGTATCGCGCAAAGTGCGCGATGCTTAACACCGTGTAATTTGAGGTTACTCTGTGTACCGTACATACGCTACGGCCCGTTTAATGTCACGAAATGAACGTGAAGTGAGACTTTGTTTAATTTGTTGTCGTGCGCGGCGGGGTGGCGTCGGTGAGAGACGCACGGTCACGGTGGAATGTCCGCGTCGGGGTCGGTCGGCAAAATCTGCTCCCAACCGCCGGCGCGTCGAGCGCCCTCGTTCAGCTGGGACATGGAGCCAACAGACCCGAGCTCGACGACGCGTGGAATTATCCGGCTCGAAACTCCCCCCGCGTGTAACCTTGCATAGTCGTCTGGTCACGTGCACAGGCAGAAGAGAGGTCCGGCGTTATCGTCCTCGAGTCTTGGCGGTGTGAATTAATGGTTTGAAACCCAGATACAAACTTTGGTACTCCTCAGTTTAAAATCAATAAAAGCTAAAAAAATTAACTCTCCAATATTGCTGACGTGGGAGGCATACTCCAAAAATGTAATGTTTATTTGTTTGGATTTTTCTAGTTTTCAGCATCGACCTGGCTACGGTAGTGGAAAATTTGCATCATTAGCACCCTCTTAAAACTTCCATAAACATTACATCAGTCGCCCACTTCCTCCATGCGTCTCTCGTTCATTCACTCACTGCCTTCTACACTTAATGATAATTTGTAATTTAGAGTTTGTAACGAGCACGGTCTTCTTCACAGGCAGCCATAGCCAGTGGCAACACTTGCCCAAGCTCTGTGGACCTTTTTTGAGATGTTTGGCCAACTCGATGAATGAGTGCTGCGTTTCTACGTGGTACAGGAAACTGGATTGCCCAGAGAGGAGAAACCCACACGTGCGAGTCTGGGTGAGGGGGCGGGATGACACTCAATCCCCGTAGAGATGGAAATGACCGAGGAACATCTTCCTTACAAACGGAGAACCACCAGTGAACGGGTCCCACGCTAGACATTGCGTAGAGATCGGCGATGGTACGGAATTACTTCCCCGTGCTGTTTGTCACTGACATGAGGCGCGCCGATCGGCCGGCGTTACCGGCATGCGTGGTGACGTACAGAAGGGTTGAAAGTGGACGGGCACGGCACGTTCCTCTCCCTCATACCACCCCCAGCGTTGCTAATAACGGCCGCCCCTCGGGGTGGGGGTGGAGCAGGGCAGTAGGAAACATGGGGCAGAGTCTGAGGTCACTGTTGGAATTGGCCGGGGGGTGCCACGTTGACCCGGAGCTGCACGAATGAGGGATGGCACGGAGCGAGAGTGGGCGCGATTCCCACGCTCGCATCGTCGGCCATGGTCAGTCCACTGCTGGATGAAGGCTTCCCCAACCCACCGCCACCTTTCGCGATGCTGCGTTGTCACGATGATCTGTCAAGCGCCAGCTGCACGCGAACCGATTTTACCGCTCCTTCTCCACGTGGACGTCCTCTCGGATGCATTCCATTCCTGCTGCTCATTACTGTTGCGAGCAGGTGGTGGGGGGGGGGTCGATGTTTGACCATACTTCACGCTGGACAGTGCGGTTTTGTGAGGACACTCAACAGACATTTGAATGTATTTTATACAAAGCGACCTGCTAAATGAAGTTGAATTGTTCAACTGCACGGTGATCTCGAACAAAAATGATTGGCGCTTGGAACGTTTGTACGCCACGTGACAGGTTAATTTGTTTGGCCATGTCAGGTGGCTAAGAGCCTTAACGACACAAGTGTGGCCAGATCATTAGGTGGCCTGACTCAAACGTTGACCGTGATTCTCCGTAGTGGGGGTTGAAAATCTGCGACGTGTTATGTCTCCGGCTCTGTCAAAGTTTAAAAATTCTCAGAAATGTTTTTTACAGAAGAATGCAGGATCCAGAATGTTGGTTTTGTGGCGTTCCGTAAAGCGCTGCCCTTGTCTAAACACCACAGTTGGACTGTGTGCGCATGAGTGAGTGTGTGGGAAGCGGTAGAATGGCGGTTAGCGTGCTGCGCTACGAACCCAGTGCCCCGAGTTCGATTGCCGTCTGAACGGGTCCTGGACCTCCCCTCGGTCGACTCATCGTCAATTGAGTACCTGGTGCGATGTGTAAAAACATTGCCTCTAGGGAGACAAAAGCGGCCAGGCGTGGTGTTGGCCACCCCCACCCCCTCGTGTGCCGTTCTGGCCTTCATAGGTGCTCGCTAACAGCACTTGCCCCAACAGTCTATTAAGGCTATACTGAGGGATCTTGGTCTTTATGTGTGCACGCATGCGTGTGGATGTGTGTGCGCACAGACGTACGACCAAAAGAACATCCGGCGGCGTGTGTACGACGCCCTCAATGTCCTCATGGCCATGAACATCATCTCCAAGGAGCGCAAGGAGATCCGTTGGATCGGGCTGCCCACCAACTCGGCGCAGGAGTGTCATAACCTGGAGGTGAGTGAACGCTCTCCGCCCGCCTCGCGTAGCTCGCGATACACACACACACGGACGGAGCTGGAGCCGAGCCAGAAACGTCGTCCGCAGCCACGGCAACTCTCCCCGGCCGCCGCCGTGGCGGCCCCTAATCCCAGATCGTCACTCGAATCCTCGCGCACGGTGCCCCCGAGCTGGTTGCGGAGTGAACGGAAGGAAACCGCCCGATGGCCGCGTATCCTCATTGTTTTATCGGCGGCAGAAGGAATGTTTCGACGGCGTGTAAAGAGAAACTTTATTAATGAATGGAGGGGTAAGGCCCATACAGGGCCCGACGATAACGGCGCTGTTTGCGTGGCGAGGCTGTTTGTGGCGGCCACGCGCCCTGGGCCCTTGACATTCCTGTGCTTGCCGACTCGGCAATTCCCAGAGCTGCGTGGGAATGTCTGTGCGTGCGTTAACGCACGCGTTAACGTGGGTTAACACGTGCGTGGGTTAACGTGCGTTAACGCGTGCGCGCGTGCGAAGAGCGAAGTGAGTAGCGGTGGCGCTAACAAAGCCGGCAGCCCAAGTTTGGTTCCTGACCACGGCCAACAACACCGATGATTATTGTCTGAACCGGTCCTGGGCCTGCTTTCATTTAACACTGCCTGAAAAGAGTACTTGGTGCTGTGTGTAAACAGCACTGGGGAGACTAAGGCAGCTGGGCGTGGTGCTAGCCACATCACCTCCTCTTGTGCGCTAATCACCGTGCCACCACTCCCCAAAGACAAAGATCCCCCTTGAACAGACTTTTGAGGCAAGTGGTGTGTTAGCGAGCATCGATGAAGGACGGAATGCTACAGGAGGGGGTTGGGTGGCCAGCACCCGGCGGCCCGTGTCTTCCCAGTAGGCGATATTTACACATTGCATGAGGTACTCATTTGAGGCCGAGTCGACCTATGGGAGTCTCAGGACCGGTTAAGATAATGGTCACACTGGTGTTGGCCGTAAGCAGGAATCGAACCCGGGTCGCGCGCACGTCTGCCGGGCACGAGGATGCGTGCGTCTGCCCACCCCCGCGAGCAATGGAGGTGCGTCGGTGCCGACACCGCGGCTGTCCGTGTGTGGGTTTTGCCGCAGACCGAGAAGCAGAGGAGGCTCGAGAGAATAAAGCAGAAGCAGGCTCACCTGCACGAGCTCATCCTGCAGGTCGGTGCCTGAACTCCCCCCCCCGTGGTAGAAACCGCATGTCCCATTGCTGCACGCGGCCGGCTGCTCGGCTTTCCCCCCCCCCCCCCCTTCTATTATCTTTACTTCTCTCCTGCAGTCGCTTGCCGGCTTCCCTCGTCTTCCCGCCACCCGCGTCCTCCATCTCTACCCTCGGCCTCCCTCTGCTCCTGCCGTGCACCAGTGTCATCTCGATAGCTCCGCTCGTGGCATCTTCTTTGTCGACTCAAATCATGGCCAAACCCTCCCGAGTCTCACCTCCCTTGACGTCTTACCCTTTATACCCCGTTTCCACTGGCACATCTGACCCGCGCCAGAGTGAGGCCCTCGCAGCACGGGTGCTCTTTTCCGCTTGACTGGTTGCCGAGCCGAGCCAGAGCCAAACGGTGAGACATCTGAATCAAGACCAAGGAGGGGCCAGGGTGAGGTTAATAATTTTTTTGATATGAAAGTGGTTAAAGCGTGACGTCAGCTGCACCTCCTGAGTCACACCGAGTGTGTGTATATATTGATCTAGTTCCCATATTCGTCTTGGAATTTTCATCTGTCCTTTCAAGCCTCTTGATTTTCATATTCCTCAGTGCCCACGTCTCTGCGTCGTATTGTTATTGTGCTTGTTTACCCAGGAAGGTCTCACTGAGTCTCAAGGACTCTCTTTCAGGAGGGTCCTGCCAAGTTTTTAGAGGCGATGGAGGGAAGGATGCTGCTGCTGTGTGATCCCAATTGGTGGAATTTGCGGGTAATTTTTCAGCATCGGGATGGTTTAGTGAAACACCAGTTACGTTGTGCGTTCCTTTAACTGGAGAATCTGGCGGCGGAAACTCATTCAGGACACGAGGGGGGAAGAACGACCGCATGGCACCGTAGACGGGAATCGAACCCGGGGGCCCTTCCTCTTGCCCTGAGGCACGAGTGTGACGTCGGTGCCCCCGCTCTGTCCGCCCGCCCGCAGCAAATCGCCTTCAAGAGCCTCGTGCAGCGCAACCACGAGCAGGGCCGCGCCGCGGGGGGCGCCCCGCCGGCGGGCTCCGTCATCCACCTCCCCTTCATCATCGTCAACACCAGCAAGAAGACCGTCATCGACTGCAGCATCTCCAGCGACAAGTGCGTCGCCGCCTCCCGCCGCCGCCGCGTTCGATTTCTCGACCGACGCGTCGGGTTCATTTCCCCAATCCGGTGGGAGGGGGGAGAGGTGTAGGCGGATGCTCGCGGTGTGGGCTCGGTGCATGCAGAAGAGCCAACGCCCCCGGGGTTACAAAACTATGAGGGCAATGCGACTCCCCCGTCGAACCACAACGATCCTCCCCCCGGGGTAAGAATGGTCATTCTTGCCGCACGGCACAAATGCCGGCTGGAGGGTTAAATTAAAATTCCGGGTAGGCGTGGGGAGGGGTTGAGACACTGAAGTAGAGCTGTGACCCTGGCCGCGCGTGCGTGCGCAGGTTCGAGTACCTCTTCAACTTCGACAGCACGTTCGAGATCCACGACGACATCGAGGTGCTGAAGCGCATGGGCCTCACGTACGGTCTCGAGGCCGGCACGTGCCGCCCTTGCGACCTGGAGCGCGCCCGCGCCCTGCTGCCCAAAGCCCTTGAGCCACACCTCCTGGGTACGCAACGTGTGCCGGGGCCTGGCAGGGCACCGCTGCTGCTGCTGTTGACGAGGGTCAGAGTGCAGATGTGGTGGGGTGGAAGGTTATGGCTGTGGAACAGTGGTAGTGATTGGTTGTAGCGGTGGTGGCGAATGTGGTGGTGATGGAGGTCGACTTGTCCTCAAATTAGTACATGGTGCGGTGTGTAAACATCGCCACTAGGGAGACGAAGGCAGCGGGGCGTAATGCTGGCCACCCACTCCCTTATTTACCCTGCTGGTTTTCATAGGTGTTATACAGGGGATCTTTGGTTTTGGGGAATGTGGTGGTGAGGGTGGCAGTGGTGGTTATGGTAGATGATGTGCTTTGGTTGAGTTGGCTTTTGCTCCACTTGCTTATTGTGTCATCCGGATCTCCCTGCGACCGCCCAGATATTACGTACAATTAGTTTTTATAGCCAGGGCTAACACAAATAAGAATCATCACGAACATGCAATTAGTCCGAGCACCGCTGCTGATGTTGGGGGCATAGAGAAGAAGGCCGGTTGCTTTGTGGAGCGTGGCTGCTTCTGTTGCCGGCCCCGTTGTGGAGCCACACGCCGGGGCGAGCTGACTCGCGGTGGCGCCGTGTGTCACAGAGATGGCGCGCAGCGGGGGAGCCACACTCGCAGCACTTCCCGCCGGGGATGCCCTCCCACCCACGAGCAGGTGGGCACCGCATCGCCAACCCACATCGCCTGTGTGTGTGTGCGCACATTTGTGCTTCCATGTGCGTGCGTGAGTGTGGTGCTGAACACGTGCGTGCGTGAGTGTGGTGCTGAACACGTGCGTGAGTGTGGTGCTGAACACGTGCGTGCGTGAGTGTGGTGCTGAACACGTGCGTGAGTGTGGTGCTGAACACGTGCGTGTGTGAGTGTGGTGCTGAACACGTGCGTGCGTGAGTGTGGTGCTGAACACGTGTGTGTGTGTGAGTGTGGTGCTGAACACGTGCGTGCGTGAGTGTGGTGCTGAACACGTGCGTGCGTGAGTGTGGTGCTGAACACGTGCGTGCGTGAGTGTGGTGCTGAACACGTGTGAGTGTGGTGCTGAACACGTGTGTGTGTGAGTGTGGTGCTGAACACGTGCGTGAGTGTGGTGCTGAACACGTGTGTGTGTGAGTGTGGTGCTGAACACGTGTGTGTGCGTGAGTGTGGTGCTGAACACGTGCGTGTGCGTGAGTGTGGTGCTGAACACGTGCGTGTGCGTGAGTGTGGTGCTGAACACGTGCGTGCGTGAGTGTGGTGCTGAACACGTGCGTGCGTGAGTGTGGTGCTGAACACGTGCGTGCGTGAGTGTGGTGCTGAACACGTGTGTGTGTGTGTGAGTGTGGTGCTGAACACGTGCGTGCGTGAGTGTGGTGCTGAACACGTGCGTGCGTGAGTGTGGTGCTGAACACGTGCGTGCGTGAGTGTGGTGCTGAACACGTGCGTGCGTGAGTGTGGTGCTGAACACGTGCGTGCGTGAGTGTGGTGCTGAACACGTGCGTGCGTGAGTGTGGTGCTGAACACGTGCGTGCGTGAGTGTGGTGCTGAACACGTGCGTGCAGTGAGTGTGGTGCTGAACACGTGCGTGCGTGAGTGTGGTGCTGAACACGTGTGTGTGTGAGTGTGGTGCTGAACACGTGCGTGTGTGAGTGTGGTGCTGAACACGTGTGTGTGTGTGTGTGAGTGTGGTGCTGAACACGTGCGTGCGTGAGTGTGGTGCTGAACACGTGCGTGCGTGAGTGTGGTGCTGAACACGTGCGTGTGTGAGTGTGGTGCTGAACACGTGCGTGCGTGAGTGTGGTGCTGAACACGTGCGTGTGTGAGTGTGGTGCTGAACACGTGCGTGTGTGAGTGTGGTGCTGAACACGTGCGTGTGTGAGTGTGGTGCTGAACACGTGTGTGTGAGTGTGGTGCTGAACATGTGCGTGCGTGAGTGTGGTGCTGAACACGTGCGTGCGTGAGTGTGGTGCTGAACACGTGCGTGTGTGTGAGTGTGGTGCTGAACACGTGTGTGTGTGAGTGTGGTGCTGAACACGTGCGTGTGTGTGAGTGTGGTGCTGAACACGTGCGTGTGTGTGAGTGTGGTGCTGAACACGTGTGTGTGTGAGTGTGGTGCTGAACACGTGCGTGTGTCGGGTCCAGTCACGTGGAGGCCGGGCTGGTGCTGGACGGGGAGCCGTGCGGGCCGGTAGGAGCGGCACGCGGCGGGACGCCCTTCTCCTTCGCCGACGACGATGAGGAAGACGATGAAGATGACGACAGCGACGACGACGACGACTCCTCTGACTGAAGCCCCGCGGGGGTGGGGGGGGGGGGCAAGGCGCTGCTCCTCCTCCCGCCCCCACGCATCTTTTATACGAACGCACGATTGTTTTGTAACTTTTTTTTTGATAGCCAGAGTGACGACGATGTTTTGCGTGTGGCCGCTTTTGGGGGGCCGAACCGGGGTCAGGGGTCAAACCGGGCGGGATCAACCATGTCGCCGTTGCCTTCGCCTGCCAGTCCTGTTTCCCTTGAAGGCTCCAGTTGGAGGTGGGATCCTATTTGAAGGCCCGAGCGGGAGATGAATCGCCTGAAAGCGCGCAAGAGATACGCGGGCCGGGTGGGGGGAGAGAATGGGGGCCTTGTGTGTGGCCGTCCCAAGGCCACGTTGGTGCGGTATTCACCGCCGTGTCTCTCGCGCCGCGCTGGATCGTAACGGAGCCCCCATTAGTTACATTAAAAAGTGGTAATGAGACATGGTTGGTTGGTCGTGACACGGAATTTCCTTTTGTTTGCACTCGTGAGCTGCTTCCCAACGAAAGCGCAATTTAAACAAAAAAAACGACGGAAGGGAATCCCCTGCCCCCAAGTCGGTGTTTTGTCGGCGGTTTTGCCCACGAGGGCTAAGAGATTTCTTGGCCAAACCGATGCCTGGTAGTTGACGTTGATTCTGTGCGACCGTTTGCTCGTGTCGTTTGTGGGGGTTACTGACTCAATAATTAATGTGTGGGATGGCAAACCACAATGTTGATTAAAACAAAACAATCGTCTGGTGCTTGCGTAATGAGCGCTGGAAACACGGCTCCCCCCTACTTCCAGTCCTGGGACGACCTTCCGCACCGATGGTGCGAGATGAGCCGCTCGGAGCGACGAGAGGCAAGCTTGGGGCTCCCGCTCGGGCTTTGTCAAAATAACTCTCGGTCTGCGGTTCACATCGACTCGTCCCTCCTTGACCGCCCGGCGCAGGTGCTTAACGAATCGTGTCGTGAACGTTCCGAACCGGCGTCATGCCTCTTTGGGAACTCTCACCCCCCCCCCCCCCCCCCGTGTATTCGCGCTCGTTCTGTCGCGCCAGCAGCGGCGGGCACGCGGGAATGCGTGGCGCAAACCGTGTCCGTTGATTCTACAGTTAATACATTTTTTTAATCACCTGTTACGTCATCCAAATGTTGGTGAAATACTCTGAAGTTTCTCACGACTTGCACGTTAATAAGCACTGCCAGTATCAAAGCTAGCGCATGGAGGTTCAAGGGGCCTTGTGAAGTGGAGGTCTTCAACCCACGCCTCTACTGTTCACCTTTGTCTCTCTCCCCCACGCAAGGGAGGCTTGCAGTGCCCATCGCGGTGGAATGTATTTCAGAGCTCGGGGGCGACGCTTGTGTAGACGTCTGGATCTTGTTTGCGTCGTCGTTGAAATAAACGCCTGTCCATTGACTTTTGTCAGGCCGAGTGTGGGCATGGGCTCACCGACACGAGACCACCGTGCGTCGGGAGTGAAGAGCCCTGGTCCTGGGCCTCACCTTGAACCACGATCGACCGCGACGGCGGCTTCCAGATTTGTGTTTACCGCGCTGGACCCTTCTTCCACACCTCGGCTGCTCCTGCGTGCGCGTACAAGTCGGCCCGAGTAGCGAAGTCTTGCACATGAAATGCGCTCACGTTTTACTGAAATCTCGTTTTAACTTTAAAATCTTCTTATTGTGAGGTTATGACTTTCCGTATGGTGTTCGGCGAAACGAAAGTAAAAAAAGGAACCGCTTTTCTCGTTTCATTATTAACCCTGGCGTCTTGAAGCCGGATCACGTGGTCCCAACGCCGAGGCCTTTGTCAATCCTGGCTGCTGCTCTTGATGTTTGGCTGTGAGCACGCAAGACGATGCGACGACTGCAATGGCCACGGCGTCATTGGACAGCCGTGATGCTGCACCGAACAGACTCCGTCCGCCAACTGTCCTGATCCAAACTGTGAAGCAACGTCGCTCGCGTCGTCCGCTTACCCAGACGACGATCGGTGACGATGTGTTCGGGACGTTGCCACTGCCTCCACCCATCGTGACCTCGCCATGCCATGCGGTGACCGTGCTGGGTCGTCATCGGCCACGAGGTTTCTGCTCTGACTGGAAGCCGATTAGCGTTGTGCCGCCATGGCACACCGGGCCTCGTTAAAAGAACGCCCGCACATTCCCCACCGCTCCATCTACAAGCGCAGTCTCGGCGCCGCTGTGTACCTTGGACACGGCCCATTGACCGTCGTCCGGCGCCGAGGTTGCGTGCTCTGCCGAACGTGACCTTCACCCGCGATGGGAGAGGGGCAGCTTGGTGGCTCGGCAGTGGTCTTCCCCATGCCACGAGATGTCTCAGTAGCCGGAGAACAACGTCATTGCGCGGTCTGACCGAGCCCTTGCCCCTGCTCCCTCGCACATTCAACCCAAGGCAGAGGCCGACTGCTGTGGCGGCTGGGGCTCGTGGTCGCCCCTGTGTCTGCACAAGCAGTTGTTCCCAACGTCGTGATGAAATCGGTGGGCACTCGTCAACAAACCCTGCTCAGACGGTGCCGAATTTCCCGAGTCGGTATCTGACCTGCAGCCCCCACCCCCTCCTCACCCTGTTGCCGCCTCGAGCAATAAGCACAGCGACTTTATCAATATGCAAGGACGACGTGAGATTTCATGCGTCTGTTTGATTTCTTCCCTCCCTATTCGCTTCTACGAGCCAGAGAAGTGCGTCTCGTGCTGTCGGTCCTTGCCAGTCCCGTGCCCTCCCCACTCCCCTGGTAACCTTCGTGCCTTAAAGTCAAGAGCCATCCATTCAGAGCCGAGCTTGACATTTCGCAAGAAAATGTTCATCGACCGTGACAGCCCAATTGTTGTGGCCCTACCGGAATTATTGTGGCATTTGAGGCAGGCGGCAAGACGTGGCGACCAGCAGTCCCGGTGTTGGCCCTCGGCCTCGCCGCTGTGGTACCACGCTGAGCCAGGAAGGAGGCTGCTGCCACCCATCAAGAGGATCGTGAGATGGAGCTCAGATTCGCAACCCCCCCCCCCCAAGCAGGTGACGTGTAAAAGGCAATCCCCAGTGGCTGATGCTTTTGGGTTTGTCGGCCGTTGGAGTGGAATAGGAGGAAGTGGCGACTTCTCATGTGCTGCTGGTGGAGCCCTCCCCAGTTCTGTGGTTTCAGAATTGTTTGTCTAAATCGCACGCTCTTTGGAATTGGCAGGAAGGCGAGTCAAAAGTTTTGAAAGCGAGATGCAGTTCTTTAAGGTGTGTTCAGGTGCCCATTCTGTTCTCTGAATGAATGGCGACAGTGCTGATGGTTGCGATCTGGGCTGGACTGTGACATTAAATGCAATCTCATTCTCGAAACTTTCAACTGCCGTGTGCAGTTGTGTGGGTTACTTGCGAGAGTCGCGTTATCCAAGTCCATAGAGATTGGATGTCGTTTTAGTGTTGTCGCAGATTCCCTGAACATAATTGTTTTTTTTATATCAACTTCGGAAACATTTCCCTTTTGCTCCACATGGCAGCGGTGAGCATCGTCACTTCGGATTCCCCCTTCCCACCCTCCCCCCCGAGTTGCAGTGAGACGTGGTCACAGGTCACCAAGCCGGCCAACCACGCCAATCGGTTGCGTTGTCAGTTGCGCTCCGCACCGCGGTCTCAAGCGCACGGGGGGGGGGGGGGGGGGGAGGCGTTTCAAAAACAGCGTCGAGGTTAGGCTGATCAGTGAGCCCCATCCATTTCTGGCCGCCTTGGCCACCCACAGCAAATGTTTTCATGCCCAAAGTTAAGAGTCTAGCCACGTGGTTTCCGTAATCAAAAGGTGATGCGATGCAAATTCCTGTTACCACCGTTTAATGTTTGTGTACAGAGAATAGGCCATCCTGCATTGTGATACCTTGCCATTCAAACATTGTCAAGGCGATGTTTCCGGCTGTGTTATGATCGTTTGCTTAATGTTTTGTGCTCATAAGTTGGAATTTAAGGGACATTTTCGAGTAACAAACTTAACCTGCTCCTGCCACGCAGATAGACAACCAACTGCCTTCAGCGCAGCTGCTTGTCACATTTTTCTGAATGAAATCTTGTAAAGTTAAGTGTGCAGATATTGGGGTTTTTTCCTCCCCCCCCCCCCCCCCCCGTGTGCAAACTTTATCAAGAATTTGACCATCACAATCCTGTTTGTATAATATTTCAATGAGAATTTGAGCAGAGTTGGGGGGGGGGGGTTAAATATAGTTTAGTTTCAATTGTCATTTTATTTGAAACCGTTTTGCGAGTGCTTTTGCAGATGATGGCATTTGTTTGAGGGGTGTTAAATGTTCAAGTACATGATTTAGGGTACATTGGATTGAAATAAACATCTTTCCTAAATGCCGCCTGCCAAGGTTTCCAGAGTTAATTGTAGTTGGTCGGTTGTATTTAACCAGGAAGTGGCTCAGGTGCTCTATACCACTCTTCCTCGATGAAGACGAGGACACGATAAAAACAAATGTTATGGACAATTGTAACCACGCTGCAACCACTTCAATTTTGTTGGCCGCAAGTGTAATGTACAAATTTTAATGTTCAGATCGATTTTGACTAGTACACATCGGTGCAGAAGCCCCATATGCCGATAGACCGATTTCGTGTATGCAGACGAGCACTGCTCACATTTGCGCGAGACATCCGATGTGGTGTTCAGGAGGAGGGGTGGGTGTAACATCAGCACTCAAACTAAATCAACGTTGATGCAAAAAACGTCAACTTCATAACAGTAAAGTAATGCTATACCGTATGAAAAGACGGACTTTTAGCCATTTGATTAGTTTACTGACGAAAACCTTTATAGCTTGAGCCACAGCATTAAATTAACTTTTTATCATTGCAGATTCATCAAAGTCTGAGGGTAATTCATGGAGAGAAACCTTGACATACCGCACATCTTTCCCAAAACAATCTGGACACGAATGAGGGTTGTCAATTCACTTTTATTTTAATGTCAATTAAAAACGCGTAAATTAAAAACGTTCACTTTACTATTTTCCATACAATTATAAGGTCTGAAGTTTATAATCTGAAATATGTACACCAAGATTATTTCCAACGGAAAATTCAAACTACAAAATGACCACACAATGCACTTAAATTTTTATGATAAAAGCCAAGGCTTTCACACCGAAAATACATTTGTTTGAGCAAACGCCTCAGCTGAAGTCACAACTACATTAAATACTGATCTTTTTTAAGTCTAGCTAAACACTGCACAGTACACAACGCTCAGGTGATGGCAGTATCCGAGTGAACACGACCTGCGCTCCTGTATGCCAGTAGGCAAACTTCGCCAAGTAGGTAAACCTTTGCAAAGTCACCCGTGCCACCTTTTCAGGAAGACTGCCCCCCCCCCCCCTGCACACAGCAATACAATCTTCGCACTTTAATTAGTTTCCAACTCCTTCCACCACTTGCATACACAAGCAGATTTGGACTTGCCCACAGCCATTTTCGAACTCCCCCCCCCCCCCCCCCCAAAGCGGCGAATGAAATGTTGTGAAAGTCCTGCAGCGTGCCACCGACCACCACAGTACCATCAGCAGCTGTACCCCAATATGCAGGCAGTGAAAACACGCACGCACATTTAAAAAAATCCGCAAACGCCTGGGTGCACTGCAAAGCAATGTTATTTGAATGCGTGTAGTTAAAATTTGACCCATCTACGCGACTCTACCGAAAAGAACCAGCGAGAATAGCAAGATACATTTAAAACGGTTACAAAAATGTACCGCGGGGTAATTGGTCACGGGGCAACGGAGTCATCAATTTAACATCGCTGCATTACCAATTTTCTTTATTACAAGTTTCAACTGCATGGACCTACAATGCAACTATATTCTTAAAGTAAAGCCACAGCCAGCGTATTGTGTAAAAAAGGAACCTTTTGGAATAGTTTAGGTTAAGAAAAACGGGGACAATAAACACGAGTGTCATGCAAGCCAAGCTTGACAGCAGAAATGGCAGGTCCCAGACACTGCAATGCTCACGCACACACCAGGAAATACATCGCATCTTACTCTTTGGTTTTTTTGGAAGTCACGTAGTTATGCAATTAAATCACGACGTTTGAGGCAACACAAGCTTCCGTCCTTCAGGTGGAACCGTCCTGATTTAATTTATTTAAATTTTTTACCTACGTGACTTTACCGAAAAAACCAAAGAGTATGAATCCTTGCAGTCACAAAAACTTTAAATCTAGAACATCGCACCTTAATGCAAAGTTCTCCCTCCTGTCGGGTGTCTTTTTGTTTTACACAATCGACTGCTAGTTAGTACTCGCCCAGGCCAAAACACTTTGCAATACAGTGCATGCAACACGTGAGTTAAATATCGTGTATTTCTCCAAAATCACATAACTTACTCGCAGCCCTCACCTCAGAAGGCATGAAGGCAATAAATAATATATTAACCTCGATGATTGTAACAGCCGAGTGTGATCCTTGGTTAAGCTTACATTTTGAAATGTGATTGTTTCCAAATAAACTTTGGTTATCAACTTTCATTTAAAAAACACAATAAATAAAGGAGAATTTTTTTTTTCTACAGCGCCAAGTCCAAATTTGTACATTTCAATGTGCTCCATCTCAGGATGTCAAACTTAATATTAATTTGCAAAAGTTCTCAAAAAAAGGCTACTGCTGAAACTTAAGCGATGTCGGACGCACCAATAATGAATGTCACATCGATCTCATGTGCACTTACTAAAACACAAGTTAAAACTGTGCCAGATACAATTTAAGTTGCATATAATAAGGTTGTATGTAAACAGGATTCAATTAATAGTACCAGTGCTTCTTAACATGTAGGGCTGGTTTTAGTTAGGCTCTTATGTAATCATAAATAGATTTAAAAACGAAAACATTACATTAATGGATTTTTAAATATACTTATGAAACCTAGCGATGCGATTGTTAAACACTTAACTATAATGTAATATCAATCACAATATATACAAGAAACACAAGTCAAGGGAGTGTAAGAGTAAACCATTAATGCAACTTAAATGTTCCTCGTGTTATTTTTATTGACAATTCCTGGCAGGAGACTTGGCAAAGATGCATTGTGTGCAATGTGCTCCTGGCAAGAGGCCAGGGTCACATGCTGCTAAGTGGCACCGGTTTTTCCTTTGCAGTTTTACTGGCATCATTAGTAAATCGCACATTCCTCATGAAACACCACCACGATGAGATTGAAAACACAGTTTAACATTTCAGACTGCGCCATTTGACAGCAAAGGGTCATATGTAGATTAAAACACTTCTCCATTAAATCTAGGACTTATTGTATGGTACAACTGGGAATATGTTGAGCAACAATGGGCCACATCTGATCTGAGTGCAAACCACAGCCCTGCGAATTAACAGGGCACGTAAAGTCCAAAATTCTAATTGATCCCAACTCACCACAGAAACACAACGACACCTGTTAACAGTTTCCATTTTGACATCTTTATAGAGTTGGCCCCACGCTACCTGTTATTCATGTTCCAAATAAAATGCACAAACCCTTCCATTGGCCCCATAAGAAGCCACGAAGGGTAAGGGTACGAGAGACGCTACGGCTTCAGTTAAATGTCCACACAAACAGCAGTCAGAGCAGAGGTAGCTACCATTACGTGGTCACAAGCAATACGCATCAGCATCCATCAGTGAAACAGTGGCAAATGGGGAAGGAAAGTGTGGGGGGGGTGGCGGGAGGTTTTACTCATGCGTCAGCGCACAGGTTTGCACACAACTATGACAACAATCAGCAACAGCAACTAAACGTTATGGCCAGTGGAGTGGGGACAGCACAAGCTGCAGGACACAGCATGCACCTCTCGTTAGTCTTCAAGCTTGATCTTGAACGTGACACGACCCAGAAATTTATCACGCTCATCTATAACCTTCACATTGCGGGCAATGACCTTGCACTCCACGGTCACCTCCGTTTGCTTGGTCAAGTTAAGGAATCTCACAGCGACGAGGGGCTGTGTGTACATGGGCTGCACCACAAACAAGCACACAAACAAAAATTACTCTGCACCCCAAAATGCTTTTTACATACATCAACCTCTCCAAGATAAAACAATAACGAAAAACTTGACATCATTAAAATCACAAAAGTGTCCAAAGTACTTACATCCAATTTCTTTCCATAGTAAGGGAAGTACATTTGATCCAAGGTTCCACCATTCGGGAAGTACTCCAGTTCTCCAAGATTATCACCCTCTTTCTGAAAGGTGAATTCACAAGCATTTACTTAAAAATACAACATCAGGCAAAAGAGCCCAAGAATGAAATGTACAAATACCAAGCTGCCTTTCTCATACCATGATAAGCAACTTTGAAATTTCCCACAGTACTAAGGCACAGATTAGGAAAACTTAAGTCACTGGGCACAATTATATTCTGTAGCTTTAGCACCTTCTATACTGTAATGTACGGTTATTCTGGGTGACATTAAAGTTAATCATTGGCAAGACACTAAGATGCAACTAGGTACATACGATTATTCCCATTTATTTTTCTCAGGAAGTGACTAAAACCCAAGATAGCAAAAGCTAAACAATGCTTGAGGTTTTTTTTGGGTTCGATCGCTTAAATATATAAATGTGTCATTAAACCCGCCACCACCCGACACAGCCAACTAGTAAGGGTTGTCACGTAAACAGAACGTGCCAATTCGTCACTAGTACAGCACTAACCGGTGTGTTGGAGAGCCAAGCCACAACATTTACAATCCGAGTACGACGTTTCGCCAGTAATTACAACTAGCTTGATCAGGCGACAGCCAGATTTGTGGAGAAGTCTACCCGTTTCGTTCTTTATATAGGAGGCACATGTGGGGGGGGAGGGGGGATTAATGAGTCAACGTACATTATGCAAGCCCATTGATCTTGGCCTTCCTGTCCATTGTGTCTATTAAAATAGCCGTACGAACGGTAACCACATTTATGCCTCTATATACAAGGAACGAAACAGGTGGACTTCTCCACAAATCTGGCTGTCGCCTGATGAAGCTAGTTGTAATTACTGGCGAAACGTCGTACTCGGATTGTAAATGTTGTGGCTTGGCTCTCCAACACCGGTGTGCTGTACTAGTATACTACACTATACACTACACTACTCTATACTACACACTAGTGCTGTACCAGTATACTACACTACACACTACACTACACACTAGTGCTGTACTCGTGATGAATTGGCACGTTCTGTTTACGTGACAACCCTTACTAGTTGGCCGTGTCGGGTGGTGGCAGGTTTAACGACACATTTATATATTTATGCGATCTAACCCAAAAATAACTATATCATGGATATTGGTCACAAAAGCTTACGTGTTAAAAATTTGTATTTATCAACGTAAACATCTGTGTCTTCATACCCATTGAAAATGTGATGATTCAAGTGCTTTAGAATTGCTCTAAAAATGTTTAAATTAATGCCACCTTACCAGAGGCTTAACATTATGTACCGTTCAATGGCCGTTGAGCATTGTACAACCACAGTAATTAAATGTGGTTGTTGTGGGAAAAGCGGCTCACCATTTTTTCTCAAAGAAAAAACCTACTCCGGTTTAGAGGCCGATGGGTGCAATTTAAGTCTGAAAAAGGCACCGGAGCCAATGAAAAACAATAAAGCAACTAGTCGCACACTATGCTCATTCCACGCAGCCAAAATAATTGCATTGCACGTTTTTGCAGGCAAGCACAGAGCTGGTGGCAATGCAGACACCTTACCAGTGGTTAGTTATAGTCCGCTAAAGTGTTGCACACTTAGAAGAGAAAGGTAGAGTAGAAGGGGGAAGACAACAAGTGAACACCACATCTCACAAAGCACGCATCACAGCGCACATCCACCACGAATATTACCGGGCAAATGATTTGTGTGGCCACTGCATTTTTGTTGGCATTGGAACTACGTGTTCCAGACAAGTATTTATTATTCAACCCCTTTAATCCATTACACAGAAACTTTTCATTTGTGTAGTTTAAACATTGAAGTTTTTCATCTTTGTTTTAAAAATGAGTGAATGCAGAATGTGATCATCATACAGCTCAATGAAAAATTGTAAATTGTTCAATCGAAATATCTAAAACTCAAATAATTTGCCCATAATATTTGCATGCAACATTAATGTGGGTGTATGTCATCGCGGCCACAAACCTTGCTTGAGCACATGACTTTGGGGGCTTCGTTAACCGTGCCGGGCTTGAATCCAATTATCTACCAGAAAAACCTCAGCATTAGCTCAGCCATGGGGAACAATTTAAACATTTAAAATAACGGAACGTATTAAACTTTAGTTCTCATTTTTATTCCACCCCCTATGGAAAATATTTATTTCATCTTTCCCCCCAAATTTTACATAATTGTGCTATCTGGGATTGCTACAAAACAAAATATCCAATTGGATCTCAAAAAGCAGTCCAACCCCTTAGCATCAACAGAATGGCCCATGAAAGCAGAGATCACCGAGCCACCTCCAAATACCTTGAAGTGACTTCTGGTCCACAAAGTACAGGGCACACCACTGTAATGTTATTTCATGCTAGTCAAATCAAAATTGTATAATTCTCATTGGTGGAATCTGGGCGAATTAATAGCAGAATAACATTGATCAATGGCGGAGCCAGGATTTTCAGGTAGGGGGGGGGGGGCAACCCCTCCAGACATGAACAATTATAGGAGTTGTTAGTAAAGACTTGTCCCTTGCTTTTTATTCGACGCGTGTGCGGCGATGGCGCAGCCATGGATCGAGGGTCGAATTCGAACCGCGTTGTGTGATCGGCATCGCGCTCGCTGAAAATATGCCTTCAGGGAAGTCGTGTACTGTATACGCAACTGCGCACAAATCTGCGAGTCACTTACAACTGCTTTGTCGCTACTTATTGTCAATTATGGACTCATCTCAGAGTCCCTGGCACATAATAATATGCTACACAGTGGTGGTCGCAAAATGCCGATTTATTACTAATAAACCCCAATGATCCGATCGAAATTAATTTAGATCGGATCATTGGGGGGGGGGGGGGGCACGTACCACCCTACCCCCCCCCCCACTGGCTCCGCCAGTAACTGTGATGGTTATTCTGTGCAACCATTATTAATTCGGCCGAGGTCATCAAACCACTACACCATCTCGATTTTGAACCCACAGTCTCAGCAGTGCCAAGCTCAGCGCTCTTAACCTCCGAGCTGCTTCTTTGGCCTGGCCCCCTGGATTCAAAAGCAGTCTTATTTTTGGCCAAGGAGGTTACACGTCCGAGTAGTAGAACTAGCACCGAGGAGCTTACTCATACCCGATTCAGCTTTATGAAAACGCATGGCGTTTGGTTGGTGTAGCCGTAGTCAGGACTGGCACACTCTCCAAAGTCGGATCGGTTGAAGCGACACGCAGGCCACACGTTATCCTCGTTCGGTGGGCCATTCTGGGCGTCTCTGTACCTTCCCGCTTGACACAGCGCCTTATTTGTCTGATTGGCCTCATCGTAAGCTGCAAATACAAATGGGAACATTGTCATCACGCAAGTTATTTAAGAGACCCCACCACCTGGCTTAAAAAAAACATTGCTCATCAATATTAAATTACATCAAAGAGCACGCGAGACACTTATCGGTAATGCCCTCATTCTTTGCACTCCACAAGAATATATACCAGTGCACACTGTATATGGTTTTTTACAAAATACACAAGCCAATATTGCGAGAGATGTCCCTACTCATTTACGGTTACATGTTACTTCAATACCCATTATATTGATCTGCAGAAACTATAGATTACATGACGTTGTTGATTCATGTCTATCTAAATCTACAGGATTCAGGAAAGGTAATGAAATAACGAATTACAAATTCAGATACATTTGAAATACTTTCCTCACCTTCAAGAAATGAATTCAGATGTTTGATTATGTCGTCGTTTGTGTTCCGATTTATGAACAACTCCAATGCCTTATTCATCTTTGGCCGCATTACAACTCCTAAGGTGCAAAGCAAACCAAAAAGACAACAAGTTTCATTAACAATTCAAAGCAACCGTTAAGATAAATACGTAATGAATACCTAAATAATTCACCAACAATGTCCATCATTTATAATGTAATAAGAAGTAGTAATCGCGGTGCAGGCACTCACACCACACCATGGGCCTGGGTGACAAGACAAATGGTTACCTGGGCTGGACACTCGATCCTGGTACTTGGGGTTTTTGTCATCAACAGTCTGCAGCATCACCCACATCGTGAACACAAACAGAGAGGCCAAGAAAGCGTAGAACACCGTGTAGAACAGAAGAATCATCCCTGCAAAAACAAACGTCGCAAATTGGTGAAAAATCTCCAAGAATCCACAAACAAGTTCTGTACAAAATTGAAGTATTAAGTAGAGCAATGTGAAAGCGATTTTTTTTAAATATATACAGGTAGATGATTTGGCACACATTGTATGATCATCATGGTGTCAAGCATAAAACGGGCAAAGGGATGTGTGGAAGTGTAGATTACAGTGGCAGTTTCTTATCTAGAAATGAGTAAACCTATTTATGTACTCAGATTGTAAATGTTGTGGATTTGCTCTCCAATACACTGGTGTGGTAGTAACGACTTGGCATGTTGTTTTCTTATCTAGAAATGAGTAAACCTATTTACGTACTCGGATTGTAAATGTTGTAGATTTGCTCTCCAATACACTGGTGTGCTGTACAAGTAATGACTTGGCATGTTCCGTTTACGTGACAAACCTTTTTTTAAGCAATACAACCCAAAAAAAACCTGTATTATTTTACCTTTTTATGTAATTGGTTGCACAGGAGTTATGGGTAAATTAACAGGGAAGAGAGTTTAGGATTTGGTCTCGGGATAAACGCATTAGGTCATTCAAGAAATAATAAAAATGAGTATATAGTGGTTATATTCTAACATTGCACAATTAATGTAAAAGCTACATAATTAATAGGCCAACATTAACGATCGACAAAAAATTCAAAAGAGTAATGTGCAATGAAAGCCATCAAAGAGGTAATGTTTAACAATTATGAGCACCATCAAGTGTGGGTTCCTAACAGAAAGCTTACATAGAAAATGTGCAAACAGGTCTTCAAAGTCACACGTGGCAATTACTGAAATGAAAATGCTGAACTCTACAGTGTCATAAAGAGATACAACTACTCTGTTTTGAATTTCCACAATAATTTTTTTTAAGGTGAAAGCCAATGCTGTATTGTGATAACGTAGGCTGAAATACAATGAGGCAGCATACAAAAGGTGTACTAATAAACTTGCGTTATGTATTTTTGGTAACGGCCTCAAAATAATACAATTTTACAGCTCCTGTGTTAAACATAAGGCACCTAAACCAAACCACTTTTATAATTAAATATCTTTTTTACAACCACGAGCTAGTCATAGCTCGTACAATAAACAACCGGAAATTCCATTCCATTTCAAAATACAGATGGGACTAAATCGCTTATAATACAGATTACAGCTCGTCCAATGCTGAAAATTGACATTATATCCACTTACTGCATTTACACTTTATTAGAAGATACTGGTAATCAAATTATAAAAGATGATCCATTTTCTCAGTCAACAAAAAGGATACAATACTTGAACAATCACTTGTATGAGAATATACTTTACCAAATATTTTTAAACTACAGGCTTCTAAGTGTTTTAAGACTTTGCATTTTCAAGCGCCACATTTTTACACTAATTACAGACCTTTGAAATAATGGCTCTCCTTTAACCAGAATGAGGTGAGATTTTACTTTTCTAAACCACAAGGCATCCCACCAACCTGAGCAGAATATTGGTGGGGGGGGGGTAGAAATATGCACCAGAACTGCACCCCCTTCAACAGTTTTTAGCACAAATATCCCCATTGCTCCAAACCTACATGGCCAGAGTATGTTTCTATCCAACGTTTGACACTTCAACTGCAACAGCATCTGTTCAGAAACAAACCACGCGGCCAACCAAAACAGCGGTTGGGAATTCTTTTCTGGTTGGGATAGAGCGTTCTCGCATGTCAAATGGCATTCATCACTTTATACTCTTAGGTTTTTTTGGTAAAGTCACGTAGGTAAAAATAAAGATAATAGAAATAATAATAGAAATAAAATTATAAATCACGACGTTTTGGCAAGTCTCCGTCATCAGGTGGGACCGTCAGTTAGATTTACTGTATCAAGGAAGGCAAAATTCCAAGATACAAGGTCTTAAATACAAGTTAAGGGGGGAGGAGGAACTTGTATCTTGGAATTTTGCCTCACTTGATACAGTTCATCTAACTGTGACGGTCCCACCTGATGACGGAGACTTGTGTTGCCTCCGAAACGTCGTGATTTAGTTTTATTTCTATTATTATTTCTATTATTTTTACCTACTTGACGTCACCGAAAAAACCTAAGAGTATGAATCCTTGCAGTCACGAAAGCTTCAAATCTAGAATTCACCACTTTCACAATACGCAATTGGGAAATCTGCCAAACCTTGGAAAATGAGGATAAATCAGTATGCCATTGGTACATATTATACACTGCCCGTCATTGACAGTACCGTGGTGCAACCAAATTCCAACTTAACCACAGGTTTAGCAATAAATCACTGTTACCAATACATATATGGCTTTGACAATCCATTTTTGTTGGACGAGACCTCCTTACATCATTTGGATATTTTGTCTACGCTTGACCACACTGAACAGTGAGAATTAAAGATGGGTAGCATAGACGTGGGAGCATACAAGTACGGTACAACAATGGATTTTGTTGCACTCCACTTTGATGCCCACCAAGTAGCCCCACAAAATATAACAACCTGCTGTGTGGTTGCTGATCACCCATCCCAGCACTGTGCAAGCTCAAACCGAATGAGCTTCCGAGATCTGACAGGACCAGGCACGTTGGAGGTAATTTGGTCATAGGCAGTTAACTAAACAGATAAATGCTCTCCCACAGAGTGGCTCACCATTCTGGCCAACATTATGCCAGCAAATCTGTCGGGATGCCGCAACATTAAACCAATGAGAACAATCCGAGGATGCATGGAACTCCCGTTACACCAAGACCTGCTCGATCCTCTATAAACCCGTCCGAGAGCCAGGAAACCAATGTACGTATGTATGCTGAACTTCTTTCGCACCATACGTAGCAAACCGTGCGAATCTGAGATGCGGGGGAAGAACTAAACACAAACAAGTGTTGTAAAGAAATTAGTCTTCAATCTAGGATTTTAAAGTGCATAGCTCCAGTGGCTTCCTAATATCGGAAGGAACAGCGTTCCAGACGGCCGTAGAAGCGCATCTGAAAGCACGCGATGCTGGGATGACGCGGGACAACTGGATGAAGCAGGGTCCACTGAAGAGTGCTGGCCAGCAACACTATTGAGTTCTGTCGAGGTTCCTAATAAAAGCCTCACATCGAAGACCCCACTACCGCGCCGAGTCGTTGCACATGCCTCTTCCACAAGTGGAAAATTTTAAGAGGACCCCACCGTGGGACTGGCCACCCGAACCAAACAATGCATCGTATCGCAAATAACTGCATTCTACCCGCGCTCTCCGGCAGACTGGGCCAGTAATCATCGCGCAACTCCCAAAACTATCACATGGCTCACAAACTTAAACCTGTACGTATGATGTACACACATTTGCCATACTCCAGAAAAAGACTAAATAGTCCTGTGCCATCAACATTTGTGGATTTTTATAAAGTAAAATCAAGTTACATTATGAAGCAAAGCGTTTACTCTTTCAACGGCTATCGCGTTACGAAAATAATTTTCGTGTAACTACCATTTTCAAATGAGCGTTGAACGTAGACACATGAGGGCCCCCCTAGAGGGCACTGTGATGCCAAATTCCACACGTGTGATTTTACAGCAAGCTTATTATTGCGTTACCTAAACCTTTACTGTCACTGTCCATGGCCTGTAACCTCATAAACAAAGCACACCATGCCAATTATATTGCTGGTTGCGTCCTGAATATGGAAATGAAATCCGGGGTTAATCTGGCCAACATTTAAGCGTTTATTTGAGATGCACTAAAAGGGGACACTACTGTGCCAATTTCGCTGTGGCCAACGCGCATGTTTAAATATTAACGAAAGCAGCCCTATTAATTATCTTCTGTGAACGCGAGCACTGTCGCTCCCAGTAACAATAGGAAACACACAATGTTAAACAGAAAATTGTCAAATTACTTGTAGACATACTAATCGGTGGGTTCATCACAGTGGCTTAATTAGCCTTATAATAATAGGTTTTTACCCTTTCAACTGGTACAAAAACTGACACTTTTATACAAGGGATCATGTTTGCAATAACCACAACACAAGCAGACAAAATGCAAACAAAAAGAAACTCTGATAATGATATGCACTGTCCTTGAAGTTGATTGGTCCACACCCGAGACAGCTTTTCTTAGAGCCTAGTCTCCATCGGTGTTAATTAGCTTTCTTTAGGCATCATTACCCAGTGTGGGCGAATCGGGGTTCATTTTCGACGCGATGGGGACCACGCTTGACCTCGGCCCACCGGGGACTGGTAAAGCAACTGCGGGAAACGCCGAACACACCAAAAGCTCGTCCCATTTTAACTCGACCTCGGAAGGGCCAAACAACGCACTGAAAGATCGCGCCACAGAGGTGTCGTCACAAGGAGGGCCTCCCCCCCCCCTCCGAGGGCGAAGATGACGCATGAAAAGGCGACGCAAAGAGAGACGTGTGGCACACAGTCGCTCTCCTCACGCACCGCCATATAAATCTCACACACACACCAAGGGCTTCTTCGTCTGAACGGGCTCATCTGGTTGTGAAATGAAAGCCTGATTTATCACGGACACGTGAATTAATAAAACACACACCAAGCCTGCGTGTATCACACATTTAGATCACACACACGCACCGCACAAGACACCACACACGATTAACACACTAACCAAATACTGAGCACGGAAGTGTGTGCGTAATACCAACTAGACGCACACGTGTACAGCCTATACGTGTACAGCACAGGCGTAGTTCCACACGAACACGTGTATCACACCCCCATACCACAATACAAAGATCCCCGTGTCGCCTTAACAGACTGTAGGGGCAAGTGCTGTTAGCGAGTAGCACCTATGAAGGCCGGCATGGCACGCGAGGGGGTGGGTGGCCAGCACCACGCCCGGCCGCCTTCGCCTCCACAGTGGCGATGTTTACACACCGCACCAGGTACTCACTCGAGGCCGAATCGACCTAGGGGAGGCCCAGGACCGGTTCAGATAATCGTCACCGATTTTGGCCGTGAGCGTGAATCTAACTCGGGTCGCCAGGTTCGTAGTGCAGCGCACACCAACACTGCCGCTCCCCTACACTCTAAACCACAGAGACAACACACCACGTGTACACACTCCATGTGTACACTACACAACACACGTACACACAACACACCACTACGCATACCGCACAGAGACAACACACGTACACACACCACGTGTACCCCCCCTTCGCATACCACACAAACACCTTGCGCCACACCTCCCGGCAAGGACGGATGTGTCCTCAGCAGAGACCAAAGCAGCCATCGTTGTGCATGGCGACCATTCATTGCACGCAGCAGATTGTTAGTAGTTCTTTACCGGCAGTGACAACAGCGACAAGATCATTCATAAAACCTTCATGAGTAATGTGTCGATATCACCATGTCCCCCCCGCCCCATCACGGTGCTTCTAAAGACGTCGGCGAGGCGGTGAAGAAATGACTCTGAAGCCGATGAAGAGGGCGATGATGATGATGACGAGGACGATGATGAAGAGGGCGATGATGATGATGAAGAGGGCGATGATGATGATGAAGAGGGCGATGATGAAGAGACACTCTTCACCATCATCGTCGTCATCCAGTAGTGGCGTGACAGACGTAACGCGCCCTGTAACAACGCGTGTTTAGTAGTAACGCGTTACTATTGTAACGTGTTTAGTAGTAACGCGTTACTATTGTAACGTGTTTAGCAGTAACGCGTTACTATTGTAACGTCGCTCTCTCTCCTCGCCGGCGAGGACCATCAATGGGATCGATCCCCTTGCTCCACGATCACCGATTTCCCCTCCCCAAGGCGTTTGGCGAGATTGCTCCATTTACACATTTTGTATTAAAAAACACCTCGACGACATTCGCCGCGTTAATCGACTAAAAGACGCGAGAATTGACGCGAACCCTGCGGCGGGCACGCCTCTCACCCACCCCAGCTCTTGCCCGTGCGGCCGAGCACCTCGCCGGTGCGCGGGTTGTAGAGGAACAGCTTCCACTCCGCCATCGACTCGGCGAACGTCTTCTTCTCCTTCTCAGACGACATCTTCACGAGTTCACCTCACGGCGACAGCAGCAGCAGCAGGCCGGCGTCTCTCACTTGGGCGAGGCGGGCGGAGATTTAAGATTCAAGCGGCTGGGGACAGACGAGCGAGGCGTGAATGACGACGATGGTGGTGTTGGAGTCTTTGTGAGGGAAATAAAACCGCAAACGTCCCTTAAAGGTGCCGCCGTCTTATTAATTCCCTTTGGCGGGAAAACAACGAGCCGGGGGTGGAGGGCGGGTGGCAGTCAGAGGCTGCTGGCGTCCTGAATGAGACGGCGACGCCGGCGGCGGTGGGGGGAGCGAGAGGCGAAAGAGCGGCGTCCGTGCGAGGAGAGAAGAGAAAGGGAGGAGGAGGAGAGGGAGGAGGAGGAGGAGAGAGCGCGACGCGGCGGCGCGCCTGCAGGAGGAGGGGAAAGGCGGCCCCCCCGGCCCCTTTTAAGGGCGACGCGACCACGTGGTGTGCGCGTGACGTCACCGCGTAGTGTGCGCGTGACGTCACCGCGTAGTGTGCGCGTGACGTCACCGCGTAGTGTGCGCGTGACGTCACCGCGTAGTGTGCGCGTGACGTCACCGCGTAGTGTGCGCGTGACGTCACCGCGTAGTGTGCGCGTGACGTCACCGCGTAGTGTGCGCGTGACGTCACCGCGTAGTGTGCGCGTGACGTCACCGCGTAGTGTGCGCGTGACGTCACCGCGTAGTGTGCGCGTGACGTCACCGCGTAGTGTGCGCGTGACGTCACCGCGTAGTGTGCGCGTGACGTCACCGCGTAGTGTGCGCGTGACGTCACCGCGTAGTGTGCGCGTGACGTCACCGCGTAGTGTGCGCGTGACGTCACCGCGTAGTGTGCGCGTGACGTCACCGCGTAGTGTGCGCGTGACGTCACCGCGCGGGGTCACGAGCCAGGCGGCGATTGTCTCGCCGCGGTCCGCTCGGCCTCAACTGAGTCGCCGGCGCGATGCGTGAACATCGCCGCTGGGGAGACGAAGGCGGCCGTGCGTGGGGTTGGCCACCCACCCACCCGCTCGCGTGCCGTGACGGCCTTCGTAGGTGCTCGCTGACAGCACTCACCCCGACAGTCTGTTGAGGCTGTACTGGGGGGGTGGCAGGGAGTCTTTGTTGTTGTTTTGTGTGCGGGGAGATGAGATTTCCCCTTCGCTAAGCGGCGCCTCTCGCCGAAGCGAAAGCCGCGGGGGTTTAGTGTCGCATTGAGAGGGAGAGGGGGGGGACACAAAGCTGGCACAAAGCTCGCGTTACCGCATCGGAGGGCACGATGGGGCGGCTCTTGTCGAAGGACGCGGAGTCTGCTGGGTATCGGACTGAATCTGTCGGAGGCGAGGGCTTTACACACACGAGCAACACTGCCACTCTAGAGACGACGGGGGGGGGGGCCCGTGTAAACGCTGCGAGCCACGGGGGGAGACGACGATGATGATGATGTCCTCGCAGCAACCGCCTGCCAGGGGACTACCGCAATGAACGAGACGTTGACATTTGGTGGCGAATCCGCGAGAATACAAAGGCGCGGAGCGACCTCCGGAGAGAGTGGCTGTGCAGGACGCGCAAGCTTCGTCGCGTTGAGCGGCTTATTGCGCAACTCATCGACGTATTTACCAGAAACGTCGGAAGAAAAAGAGAGAGGACGTTCATGCAAATCCACGCCGGTACACGGCACAATTCTACGCCATGGGAACTCGTAGCCATGACCATCAGCTCGTGTTTGGGAGCGAGGCTGATTGTCGTAGGACATGGTCGTGAGGGTTTCATGGACGTGTCGGCGTTGGCATTCATCCAGTAGTGGATTGTTCATGGCTGGTGATAATAAAGGGGGGGGGGGGCACGGATGCCCCACACGACCGGCTGAGTCGTCCTTGTATCTGGTGATGGGGCGAGGGGAAGTGGGGAACACGTGCGGGAGTACAGTGCGAGCACGTGGGAGTACAGTGCGAGTACAGTGTAAGCACGTGCGCGCGCGGTGGGTCCCTTCCGCATTGACGGGCGCGTCCAGCCCCATTCATTCTCGATGTTACACCCAACGCGCGGATTGGGGGGCGACTGTCACAAGCACGTGCTCGGCACTTTATAGCCCGCTTGTCAATCCACTGCTGGACGGGGGGGGGGTGCTTGACCATACTTCACCGCGTTGGTCGGTGCAGCAGGATGATGAGAGGAGGAAGGCCCCTGGGACTGAAAACGTCGTATGCTAGTATTTAATTAAATTTATTATTTTATCTTTATACGTGACTTTACCGAAAGAGCCAAAGAATAATCCCTGGGACTGGTTCAAAAGGTTCGATATCACGCGCTAGTCGGTGGGTCGTCGCCTGTCTTGCTTCCCCCAGGAAGTCCTTGCTGTCCTGGGAACTCTGGAGATCTTCCAGGCACATTAAACTTACCCAGCCTTAATTCTAGATTTGAAGCTTTCGTGACTGCAAGGATTCGTACTCTTAGGTTTTTTCGGTAAAGTAACGTAGGTAAAAATAAGTAAATAATAAATATTTCATAAAAATTATAGAAATAAAATCAATTTATTTATATTTTTCTATTATTTTCTTATTATTTTTTACCTACGTGACTTTACCAAAAAACCTAAGAGTATTTACCCAGCCTTTCAAAGGTGTGAAATAATACGAACACACAACTGTCGTGTCGTCCTCACCTCTGCCAATGCAGTGACGGTGGGCATTCTCACGTGCCCCCGATTGTTGTACCTGAGAAGGTGGCAACCCAACCAGCCGTTTATATATTTTTGTATCCGTGGACATAACGCGAACTCGGCGTGTGGCGGTAACCACTGCGCCACCGCTCCACTGAAACACACGACACGACAACCAGGACAACACAACTTCAAGCGCCTTGTGTTGTTCCCGCCTGGGATGTGTCCACGTTGCACAAATGCAACGTCGCCGTGATGTTGGTATTTTATTGTTTGCCCAAGTTACAGTCGTGTGAGCCATCGAGGGTGTATGTGGCTGCGGTTGATCGGAGCAGTGGTTAGCGCATTGCGACTGTGAACAATTAATGTAAAATAAATGTATTATATGCGCCCGATATTCTTAATGTGAGGGACAAGGCGATGCCCTGCCGCCCCCCCCCCCCCCTCCAAATATAAAGTCGAACTCTGCCTTTGGGCGAGTTAAATCTAACCTGAGGTTATCTCTCTTCAACAGTCCACACTCACCAAGGTATGGTGAGACCTTCATCCAGCAGTAGATTAACAAAGGGGGGCAACACATCTATGACTGGTGTGTGTGTCAGTTCATACGTCTTGATACAACGACAAACGAGACAGAGTCATCGTTAAAATAACGAGAGTACGTGTCTCGTGAGCTGTGGGTCACAGCTGATTAGCTCAGCGCCAGGAGTTAAATGTCCCCAAGACACAAAATTAAAGACCCGCGCAGGATCCGAAGTGTTCACAATGGGCAGCCACCTCCTGCTGGGCGGGAGCGGTGAATTGGGAATTGAGGCGACGGTGAGGATGTCTGGGTCCCTGCAACGAGGGAGAGAATGAATGTTTAACAATGGCACCGGGCGGATTAGGAAATGACTCAAGGTAAAGAGCCAGCGGCTGATTATTCAATTGTTTACATTCGACGGCCCTCGCCGCCGTGAGGTTGATCGATTCACATCGAAACTCGTGACGGGCATTCGTGACCTTTGCTGAACAGACACTCGGTCCCAGCTATTGCATCAGAGGTCTCATTAGCGTTGTTGTGGAAACTGTCCTATAACTTTATTAAAAATATCTATTCTTTTACACACACCATCAGCATTTGGAGTGCATGTCTTTTTCAGGAGCATTTGTCTTCACACGAGAGAAACTCTGGAATGGTTTGGACATTCGGTGTATTGTCGGCAGAATTGGTTTCCCTTGCAGCAATGCCGGTGAACTGTTTTGCGCTGTGCCCCCCCTCCCCCCCAAAGTATACAGCCGAGTGGCTCTGAAAGGGCTAATCCCTTCAGAGTGTTTGCGTGAGTTAATGATCATTAATAAAAAAAAAACGTTTGTTGCTTCTTCCGATTACTGTATACTCATCCACCCAGTTTGTTTTGTTGTTGCTAGTTAAACACATTGGGCTTTTTGTTATGATACTGCGTTGCTATTGGTTACGCAAATCACAAAATAATGTTTACTCAAGACGCGCCAATAACACCGTGGCCCTAAAAGTAAACAGACAATCGTCGACGTTTCGGGGAGTGACCTTTCTGCGCGATCTGCTATGAAGACGGGGATCACATTGACCCTCGCTGCGTGGTTGGTAAAATATGGTCGATCCCCCCCTCCCCCCCCCCGCTATGGTTGACACGGGATGGGGAGACTTTCGTCCAGGGGTGGATTTGACAACAGCGTTGAGCTCTTTACGCCTCAACTGTTCAAACCCGTTCAATGAATATCCAACGAGCGATCTTATGCATCAATGGATCTGTATTCATTGCTAAGGCAACAGGCGCCGCCAGCCTCCGAATGGACGTTCCAGTCACCCCGCCCCATCGGTGGCTGCATCGCTGTCTGTTGTTATTCTTTTTTGCTGGATGTGTACAGCCCCTTGTATCGATCCATTGCTGGACGAGGGGTTTGTGAATGCCGAGACAGCATAGAGGAGCACAGCACGACAGTGAATTATTCTGCACTGCCCTGTGATGTCCATCAAGTGGCACCGCAGCAGCCTATACTACCTTTTTTAACGATATACCCAAGCGTATCTGTCCCTCCAGAATAGAAATACAAGTTGTTTTACGCATCATATCACTTGCTTTCTGGAACCGCATAATTGCAGCAGCGTTGGTTCATTGAAAGCAAACTCTGGGCAGCTTTTGACTATACTTCACCGCGCTGGTCAGTGCGGATTGCAATCGGTTCAGATTTCGCTCGCCACTGATGTTGAGTGTGACCGGGAATCGAAATTAGGTTCGTAAGTTCAAGTTCATTGATTAGGTATAGACCTGTGAGCCATTCGGCTATTGAATCGGGTGCAACCGCAACAAACAAAAAACAAAAACATGAACAAGAAAACATCTTAAAGTGACTATGTGACTAAGTGCAAACAGAAAATCCAAAAAAAGACAGCAAAATATTGCAGAAAAAGCACGGTACAACAACGCTGTGTGCAAAAATCCCAGTGGGATGCAAGTCAAACAACAACAACCACAAGACAACTTAGATTAAGGCCATCAGTCTAACTCCGTACTACAACAAACAAACATGGCCAAACCAAAAAAAGTTTTCGAAATCTCCAAAATAAAGCCATAAAAGCATAACGCAAAAGGGTGGTAACCAAAGCACAGCCGCTGCACCCATGAACACGTACAGTGCTGTATTACCAATGCACAAATACATGCAAACCTTGAATGCTGTACAGCGCATCATGTGAGCGTCTTATGTAACAGAGCCGGATCT